AGACCAACAGCCAGGACTTCTGAAGAACCTCAACAAGATGAAGAAGATGACTCTGCTCATGTTGCTGAGCGTGAGATGACATGGTTCATTCAGAATGTCAACAACCTGGTTCTCAACCCATGGATGATATATGACATTGGCATGGTATCACTCCATGATCGTGTAGGGACACGTGTACTCCAGAGCACTGGAGAAGACGTGATCCTCGTGAGGGATTGGGACAGGTTGACAAGGCACCAGAGAGAATATTTTTGTAGAAGATACAAGTTGCTACGTCCAAGTGTTTATGGAACAGAGGAAGACCCCAAGACGTATGCACCGAGTTTTGAACCCGGAATTTCTCAGTGGATGGAGTTGGCACAAACTGGATACCAACAGTTTTTCTTCATCCGTGCTTGGGAGAATGGACGCCGCTGGGCTGAAATTCTGACAGACCATGGCATTTCTTCTGTAGAGCTTTCAAGCTTCTTGGATATGTGCAGAGATCCCAAATTGCTGGGTTGGAACTTTGGTATTCCAGAACCTCAGTGGGATAATTTTGGCAATACAGTGGAGGAAGCATTCAACAATCCTTTATTTGCCAGATTGCACTATCGCTTCAAGCAGGAGGAAGAGATTGGTCGTGTCATGCACCTTGTGTCAGAACTTGTTTGTGACTTTTTCATCAAGGTGCTTCCCAAGTGGGTTCTTGACCACTCGATCTTGTGGGAAGAGTTTATGATTTTGGATCCACACACAAAGCTCCCAGTTTACAAGACTTCAGAGGCCGCCTTACAAGCAGAAAGGAATCCAGAGAAGTATCATACACATTTTGCTATGAACTTCAAGAAATTCCGTTTTTCTGCAAGGATTGTGTGGTATTTGATTGACCGTGACAGGAATCATTTAGAGAGTTTTCTTCACAACTCCAACAGTAGATTTGTGCAACGTGCATGCTATCAACTTCGTGAGTATGTTCAGGCGCGTGTTGCAGTTTCTGATCCCTTGTATGAGATGATCAAGAAGGAAGAGTTTGAACGCCAATACAATTCCAAGTTTTTGGAGGCGATTTCTTGCTCTCGTGTTGTAGTTGAGCCTGTAAGTTCAGGGACGTATGAGCCATCATCGAAGCTGAACTTAAAGGTACTACAAGACATCCTGAAGGGTATCTTCAAGATCCAGAAGGATGAGGAGCTTGCCAAGGAACGTGATGAAGAAGAAGAACAGGCAGCTCAAAACATCTCATACCTGTTGGCAGATGATATGGAGCTTGATTTTGATGATGATGATGTTCCAGTATGGCGCTCCATTGTCGACAAGTATAGAGGAGGTGATCAGGTGCTACAGGGAGAAGCTGTGAAGATTACTCACCTGTTCAGGGATCAAAAGGACAATGAGAAGGCGACAGAAGCTTTCAGTTCAGAGAGGACAGATTTTTATGAGACCTCAGGACCTCTTCCAAGAACCGAGGGAGAAAATCTTGTAGAGGACTTGCTCACCAAGGATGTTGCAGAACAAGCTTTTGAAGCAGGTGAAGAAGTTCCTCCTTATACAAGAGTCTCCACTATCACTGGTGAAGTCTATACTGGAAGTAGAACACTTCTAGAAGATGAGAATATGGAAGAGGAAGTTCCTGAAGAAGATCCTGCAGTTGAACCTGGAAAGGAAGAAGAAATATTTGATGAAGATGCAGGTGTTTTTCCTTCAGAGGAACCAAAGATGGAAGTTGACCAGGAGGAAGCCAAGGTAGAGTCAACACCACACTTTCTGTCAAGAGAGATAGGTGAGGACTCGACTGCATCGCACTTACCATCAGGTGAGATGGATGCAAACCTTGATGATACTTCAGGTCAGCGGAAATCGAAGAGAAGCCGCCTGAATAAGATTCCTGATCCTCATTTTCATGAAGAAGTTCAGGATGATGCAACCATGGAAGAGAAGAAAGAGGCGGTGGAGAAAATAAAAGAGGTCAGAGAGGATGATGGAGAGAAGAAATTGGAGGCTGAAATCCAAGAATCTTTTCCATCTGAAGTAGTTGTTGAAAAGGATACAACAAAAGCTGACGATACCTATGAATTGCATACTTCACCTTTGAAGTTGCTTGGAGAGATTACAGGAGATCCAGGTATTGGCTTTTATCAACTATGCTTCAGGGAAACTCATGCAAGATTGCTGAATCATGTTTGTTTCAGAAAAGGTGAGATTTCCCATCCTCATTATCAGTCGAGGATCAATGAGAATGATTTTGTTCGATCCATTCGTAATATCTGTCCAGTACCTCCACCTGATTGTTATGAACATGAACCAGAGCATGATTTGAAGAGATTCTTCATCAATGATGACCGCATCATTTATTTGGATGGCAGGTATCAGGTCGATCCAAAGGCCCTTGAAAGGGCAGAACATGCTCGAGAAGAATTGGAGGAGACGAAGAAGGAACTCAAGAATGAACTGGAATCATATGGTCCCAAGGGACCCAGTTGGGACTTTGTCACCTTCTATGAAGAGCTGTGCAGAAGGTTCCTCAAGGGAAGAATAGAAGAACCATATGGAACTAATTTATTGGCCAGCTCAGAGTCCTTGACATTTTTATCCTGGAACTATGGAAACATGGTTCGTGGTCAGAAGTACACCACACCAAGGTTTCTCCAAGGACTTGATAGTGCAATGAGGCCACGCAAACAGAGCGCCATGTCACTTCAGAATGAGCAATTTGAGAACAACCTTTTCTTCAACATGCTCTTCTTTTTACGTGCACATGTCGTGATTCTCCAGGAAGCTCATCTTCTTGTTCCTGCCAAGGAATCTATTGAGCAAAAGAATTGGACAGTTTGTTTCAATGATTGGGAGAATCTTGCAGTGATGGCTAGATTGGCACCAGGTGGATATGTCAAGATCATTGCTGGACATGATCAAGAACTTGGTCACTGTGAACAGCGTGATGTAACTTGGGCTATCTACGAGATTTGTTTTGGAGAAACAAGGCCTCGTCAAGATTTCAAGGATGCAGACTTTGAATTTGATGACTATGGTCCTGAGGATAAGCGTGTTCCACTTACTCGAGCGAACATGCATACCATCAGAGTCTGTAATTATCATGTTGATACACACCGTGCTGTGGATGCCCACCTACTGACAGGAGAACAGACAGCATTGATGCTTTACGAGTGTTTTGTCTATGAGGTGGACATCATTTCTGGTGATGCAAATAGTTTGGCCTACAGAATGTCTGGGTACAAAAGGCAGCCAATGGCTAACTACTATTACAGCACCATGCAGCATTGGATCCGCAGGTTTTCAGAAGCTCGTGTAAAAGCAGATCCTGGTATCAAAGCACCTATTCCCAGAACTTTTTACAGTTCAACTTCACAGGTCCTCAAGAAGTGTGAAGATTACTTTGACAAACTCTGGGAAGAATATTCTACTGTTGAAAAAGAAGAATACCAAGGATCACAGCTTGGCGATACATGTTTGTCTACCATTGTTGAATGGGGTCATTCAATGAGTGAAGAGGAATATGAAAATTCCACAGTGAGCACGAAGGAGTTCATCTGTAATTTTTCAGAGAACTTTGCTATGATTGACACAGAGGTTATGTGCTCAAGGCCCACTGACGAGGACAGTCATGGTCCAATGTTTATTTCACTCAGACCAGCTTCCTTTTCATCTGGAGACAGAAGACAGTATCGCATGGGAGCAACTCTTCATGAGGCTAACTTGCGGAGGAAGGAGAGACAGAAACAGAATAGAAGGAAAGGAAGGCCGCCAACTTCTGATCAAGCAGCTTCATCGTCTGCAGCGGCATAATTCCTGAGCGAAGGCTGAGATTTAAATGATGGCTAGGAAGTGAAGATACTTCTGGTTACAGTTGATACTTTGCTTCCAGGCTTGACTTTAAGTTGCCAGGCTGAAGTTTTAATAAATTCTGGTTGCAATGAGGAGAAACTTTTTATCAAAGAAGATACTCCTGCATTCCAGGTTTATATGCTTTAGCATTTGGATAGGTATGGACAGTTTTACATAACTGATGATATCTATCATCACCACTCTTATGAAGTGACCTCTAATGGACAACCAGTCATGGTTGATGATTAAGTCATTTCAAGATTTGCAATTGTAGTGCAAGATTTTTTGTACATACATTTGCCGGTATCTCCTTCTTGTGTTTTTGATGTGAATGAGAAAGAGTCCTTTTGATGCAGTTCTATTTTGTCTGTGAATGAAAGCGGTCGAGACCACGTCACGAGAAGATTATTCCTCGGACCGTACGCTCCTTGCATTTTGCAAGGCATCTTAATTAATTGCAATTTGTGCGGTCTTGAATTTTTAGTTCTTTGTTACGCGAGTGTCGTTTGATTCTTTTATAGGTCTCTGTAGAGAAAAAGCCGCTTTCCCTTTTAGTTTGATTTAGCTCAGGCCATAAAGAGCTAGTGAGCGCCGGTACATGGTATCTCCGCCTGCGAAAAGTACAGTCTCCAGCCGAGGTACATTATCGATTTGATCTTGTACTTGAGGTGAGTCAGCTATTGCTCCCTCACTGTATTTAGTAGCTATGAGATTACCTTCTCTGAAGTGTGAAACACACTGGATTAGGTAAGTACATGGCACCGTAGTTTTCTTTTAAGTTGTCAGAGCTAGCTGGACTGTTTTAGCCTTGCAGTAGAAAAAGAGTATGCGACATACGCAATCAGCTAGGAGTGGACATGAATCTTGTGCCTGCTGAAAAGTAGAGCCTATCTGTACAGGGTTCCACTCCAACAGCTGATATAGTGTGTCCATGCTTGACTGCTTCAAGGCTCAAGAGAGAGTCAATGGACTCAAGGAGCAAGAGGATAAGACTCTGCGCATAAAAGACACTAGCGGTCTGCACCTCTACCGTGTACGCCCTAGTCACTCTTTCACCCCCCGCCCCCCTCTCCCCCCAAAAAAACACACACAGGTGCTTGCTTTTTGAGAACAGCGCCCCGCTTCGCCCAGCGGGCCCGCTTCGCCTCCCCTCAGCCCAATCCCCTCCCCTTCGCCTCGGGGAGACCCATCAACAACTGCACCGCCTCCGGTGACGCCGACAGGCTCAGCTGTCCCACCTGAGTGAGGCGGAGCAAGGCGGAGCAAGCCGCAGGGCGCCCAGGTGGGCGGGGCGCGTGGTGAGCTGCTGTGCAGGTTGGGAAGAGTCAAAGAGTGTGGAGATCCAACAAATGTCCTGATAAAGCCAACATGTATCTCCAACATGACCATTGCCACATGATTTTTCCTGAAATGGTGCAAAGCAGGATGGGAAACACATGTTTTGATTGCCACATGTCACATGCATGTTTTTGGGGTTGAGAAAAAGTCTGGCACTACTCCATCTACATCCTTCAGTCCAAAAACATCCACAGCATGCCTCATCCTCACAAAGTGCTGCGCATGGGTTGTTAGTTTGTTTTTCGCTCGCCAGGGTAAATTTTTAGCCGGTATTATAGCCGGCACCAGGGCCTACGTCCATCCAGATTTTTGGTACAAAATGCTGGCTGGCTTTGCATGGCATGTCAAATCTACCGAAATCCCACCTTCACTTCCACATTCACGGACAAGAAGTCTTTCTGCTCCATATACCTCAAATTCAAGTCATCCGTTTTTTCCAAGTGGTTCTTGCCAAGATGTTGCAATATAAGCAGCGGCAGCGCTGTCCAACGCCGGACATCTAAAGGATTCTAAAGGTGTGTGTGTCCATATGTTATGTATTGTATCCATATGCATCCAACACCCTACCAGTTTATCGCTTCTCAATGCTTCTCATCACTACAGATACAGTGTTCAACAACTTGAACAACACGCATGTGACAGCATGTGGCTGACATCCTGCCAAGTTTGGAGAGTTTCAGATAGTTCCAGTGTCTCAACACACACACTGGGAAGAGTTACGGCAAGGCGTTAGAACGATGTCATTACCGTTGACCTCCTGAGCCCACGGCCTCCTGACCACCTGATTGACCTAAAAAACCTGAAAAATAAGTGTGACAGCTTGAAAGATATCATCGTCGGCTTCTCGCAGGTACGAGCGTTCGACCTTTCACAGCCCACACAACAGGAAGTCAGCCCACCGCATGGCACACCGATGGAAAGAAGTCAGCCCACAAAAACAAGAAGTCAGCCCACAGTGTCGAATCCCAATGGCACAGCATCACCCACAAAACTGGCAACATGAACTTATGCAGGCTGTTTTAGTGCGCCACTGCGTTTGGGCTGCAAGTTGCTCACAAAATCTAGGTTTCAATGTGTGTTTCTGCATGGCACACCGTAGATGCAACGTGTTATGTGAAAAGATATTCCCTGTTTCTTTTGGTGTGTGTCTTGCAATGGAGGGACATGTGTACCACATGTGGGTCTCCATGTGTGCATTACGCAGGAACATGTTCCCCCAAATCTTTGGTTTCCTTTTGTTTGGCATGTGTCAGTGGAGGTGTTGGGTAAGTTTGTTTTCTTAGACTTCCATGTTGATCCCAATAAAGCTACAACTCTTTCCAAGTCGCGATCACTTCTTCTGCAAGTATGCAGGGAGCTGTACAAACCTGTGTGATCTGTTCTTGGCCCACGCATCCAGCCACGCCTGCCTGGAAGTCTTAGTTTTCAAGACTCCACTTTGCAGCACTTGTGTATTCACAAGATGGGACAGTGGCATGGACTTAGTTGCTTTTTGACGCAGATCCGCAAGGAAATAGCTCACTACCACCCGCAAGTTTTCAGGCTCTTTCTGCTGCCAGTGATGAGCTATCAGCTCAAGACAATCGTCCACACATTCTAAATCAAACTCTCGCTCTTCAGCTGCCGTCGGTTCTTTCTTCTTCTCTGACTCTGGTTCTTTCTTCTTCTCTGTCTCTGGCACCTCAGAAAGCTCAGGCTGAATGGCTTTGGCCTTGGCTGTCAAGTCGCCCCACACCTTGGTGGCCGATTTCTTTCTGGACGGTGAAAAGTCTAAGGCATTCTGCATGTCAGTGATCTGTGTTGGCTTGCGCTTGTAGGCTTGACTTTTTGCACCTTGAGACACGCTTCCCTGGATCGCATCATAATTTGCGTTGGTTGCGCCGCACATCGAGCAGAATTTTGCACTGGTGGGGACCTTTCTCTTGCAAGAAGTGCATGGATGTGAAGCCAAAGCACGTTCATAGCCTCGAGGCTGGGGTAAAGCATTCGCATTCTGGGCTTCTTTGTAGTCACGATCTGCCACAGGAACAATCTTCTTGAAGAGTTCAGGCTTGTCAATGAGAATCTTGTCTGGATCAGGAGCACATCCAATCTGCAAACCTGTGGCTGCAAATCCCTCACTGCATTGCGCTTTGTGTACGCACGCTCAAAACATTCATGGGCGCTATCCAACGCTTGCAAAGAGCTGATGGAAGTAGAGCGGGAACGGATGTGAGCCCAATGACTCTCGAAAGCGCGGTTGGGGTGCATGTCCAGTGGCATCACCGCGCATGTATGATGCGGTGGTAGGTAGAAGGGCGCAATGTTGTATTTCTCAGACAGGACACCCACAGAGACAGAGAGGTGGCTTAAGCTTCCGCCCCCTGAGTCAAGGATCACAACGATGCTTTCGGACAAGGGTATCTTGAGGACATCTCTCACATATTGACACCAGTGTGCGTAGAACCTTAGAGACAAACAGATGATCCTGTTTATTCAAAAACCCGTCTTGCTCACCCAAAAATAATTCTTGCAAAGGCGCTGCGAGAATAGGTCTGTCGTCACTGCACCCTTTTCGCTCACAGCCACATGCGCCTGTGGCCAGACTTCCTTCCACACGTTCATCGTAGAGCTGCCCGCCATGGTAATGTAAGGTTCACTGATCTTCCCATCCAGAGAGATGAATGGTAAAACAGAGATGTGCTTGAAGCCAGATCCACCTGCTGAGCAGGTCGGTGCGCCGAGCTTCTTGATGGCCAGACCAGAAACGAACTTGAGCTTCCCCTCTGTGTCGCACATACCCTTCCTGCACCGCATGAGATGTACTCTATCTTACTGCTGACTATTCCAACGCGTTGGTTTTCTAAAAGTGGGACTAACAAACACAAAATGTGCAAGTGTTACTGTTCCAAAAAAGAGCAAAGCTTCTCATCAGCTGCCCAAAGCCGATGGCCATGAGCTATCTTCCCGTCTTTATCCAGAATACCACACCGCTCCAAACATGCAGTTAAAGCAGAGAAGTGTTCACGGATGGAGTGAGGAGTCAACATGGCTGCCCTCTCAGGCTTTATCCCGATGACCTTGCGGTTCACAACCTCGTACTCTCTCGGGTAAGTCACACGCACCCATTCCAGCCAACGCCGGTAGCAAACTTCCATAGAGCAGTCACAGACAGAGAACTTCTCCCAGTCTGTCTCTTCTTGAAGAGATGCCAAGCCACTGTTCACAAGAAAAAATTGTACATGCTGCGCTTTCAGTCTTGCTTAGTGAAGACAGTGTTTGATTTCTGCATGACCTGCACATGCGTCAGCAAGTCTTGCTTCTGTGTCTCGTTGAGAAGACCTCTGTGTGTTCGACCGCAAAGAAACTCGGCAGGCACGTCCTGAAAGGTCTTCTTGTCTGAAGTGTCCATTACCCTCTGCACAGCAGCTACCTTTTTGCGGTTCAGGTGCATGTCACCCAGCGCTTCCACTGCACCCTTTGCACTCTCGAAAACGCCCTGCTGCCATAGAGCAGCCACATCCAAATACATGAAGAAGGCCTCCTGGTCATGCTGCTGGTAGAAAACAGAAACGTTCTCACAATCTTCCATGTTCTTCTTGAACTGGCCCCATCTCTTCCTGGCACGACAGCACTGCACGCAATCAACTCTGAAAATCTCAAAGATGGAAAACAAGCACTAACTAACACTGATCGGAAAACACATACTGCAGATAACGAAGTGACCCGCTCCTGAAAATCGAAACCAGTCTTTGCTCGTACATGGCGCTTTCTCAGGCGTCTCCAAAGTGCATGCTACAGACTCCACAGACTCAGGCACCTTGTCAGGTGTACAAACTAGGGTCTGAGGCACAGCGATTTCACCCGTCTTTTGAAGCTCTGTCTTGAAAGCATTGCGAGCTTCATCACCCATTTATTTCCACATCTGCGTAGCATCCTTCTTGGAAATCCCTGTCTTTTTGTTTGCGCTGCCACCACGTGCACAGGCTCACCTTGTTCGGTGCCGGAGCCTCAGAAGCCTTCTCGTCGGGCTTCGGCAACCATGCCTCGTTCTTCTTGACATTCACGTCGAAGCAATGAATGCAAAAGGCTGGCAGGCAGCTTCGGCTCGATTCCGTGATGTTGGCACCACACTCTACGCAGACCCTACTTGTCTCGGGCTGCGCAAAGTTCTCCGCCACAGATGCAATCTTGCCACACGACTGGCGTGTGGGATCAGCCTCTCGTGTTTTGACGCCAGTGGGATTTCTATTGAAGTTGGCGGGCTTGTGGCAAATTGGCACTTTGGCTGGAGGGTCAACAACCCCAGCGCGAACAGCCGCGGCAAAGCTGCGTACAACGGGAACGCCCGCTGACCGACACAGCTTGCGGAGATCAGCCCGCTTGCTGATCCACTCTTTGCTCAGCTCTTGCTGCCTCTGCTTTCGCATCGCCATGTTTCGACGTCAAATCTAAGCAACTAGTGTTTCAGATTCTCTTCCAGGCAACTTTGAGAGCTGAGCACTGAGCACCGAGCACCGGCCAGTGGCATGACCAAGACAACGGTCTTGCATGTCAAGGCGACTAGTTGGAGGAAAGGTCCTGTGTCCACTTCATGGGCGCCAGTGACTGCAGCCTCTGCAGTCCCCACTGCAGCCTAGGCCACAGAAAAATTGCAAGGATTGTTCGAACGTAAGGAAAATCCCCTGAGAATGCAGCACCACCACCTGGCTCGGCAGAGAACCCATTCTCAAGAGCAGGCTTCACCTCAAAAAATTAAATTTCACATATTTGACCTAAGCATCCAGCAACACACGCTTGCACAGAAGATTCCCCATCCTCTGCACTCTTTGCATCCTAGAAAGCAACTGTGAAAAATCTCTTGATGTGAACAGAGGGAAGTCAGACCTTGTTAAAGAAAGACATATATGCAGCAATCCGGATGGCGATAGTTCTACAACCACCATCATCAAATGACTTGAGCATCCAGCAACACACCCTTGCACAGAAGATTCCCCATCCTCTGCACTCTTCACATCCTAGGAAGCAATGGTGACAATGCTCTTGATTTTCAAGCCTTGCTTAGCCTTAGGCAGGTGCCGTCGGTTTAGCACCAGCCTCACCAAGAAACACATATAGGAACAACCCGGATGGTGACAATTCTACCACCACCATCACGAACATTCGACCTGAGCATCCAGCAACAGACCCTTGCGCAGAAGACCCCCCATCCTCTGCACTCTTCACATCCTAGGAAGCAATGGTGAAAATGCTCTTGATGTGAGCTGTTGTTGATGCTGCTGTTGCTGCCGATACAGCCTATTCAAGGAAGACTCGTCAAAAATTAGGGTCCAAGCTTTCAAGGAAGGAGCTGAAGAAAAGAAACCGTCCTGACCAACACACTGCCAAACTAAGAAGTAAACAGTGACCAATGGAACTCTCACAGTAGCTCCTTGCGAGCCACATCAACCATGGCTGTAGTCACCTGAAATCCAAACCCCTCCAACCTAGAATGCCTAATGCCCCCAAAGACGCACATTGGCCTCATCCAGCTTGTTCGCATCAGCATGCGCACGAGCTTGCGCATAGCTGCGGAGTGTCTTCTTCGACTCCACGTGGAAAAAGGTAACTGGGCACCAAACAAAGTATTTCAAAAAAGATGCCACGAAGAGCCTGGGAGCAAACAACAAAAACTCAGTGGCAAGCAGTAGAAGCCAGTGGACGTCGCACGATCATGGCGGAAAATCTGCCATGTCATGACTAAGGACCTATTAAAGATCATGTTCTTGCTCTCTTCATCCTGATTGTGTTGCGCCACTGCGATTGTGTCTATACATATTCTGTGCACATAGTACTTCCTATATGGCTGCCTCAATGCGATTAGCATATTAGCCTTTAAGTCAACCATAGGTTCTACACATGCACCGACCTGTCTGCGCCATTGCGATTTGATTTCTAAGCTCAAGATGAACAACATATGCATCTCACTACACATGTACCTGGAGCATGTGATTCCGCAAGGCACACCGACAGTGGCACGACTTCACGCGACGCGGCACGAGAAAGGTCAAGGACCCAGTACGTGCAATCTGCGTCCAGATTGCATATCACAGCAATCTTGAAGTGTTTTCATTGAGCGGTGACTTCAAGCATGCCCACCGCTCCCCTGCTGAATAAGAAATTTCCGGTTGTCATAGCGGTATACACAGACAAGGACCTCCCAACGGAGGGTTCAAAGCTTTCAAGTAAGACAACACGGCGTAGCCTAGAAAGAGGAGAGTCCTCGTACCCAGCAAGGTAGCAAGGGTTCCTTGGTTACGATAGAGACAAAACCGCGAAGGTCAGAGTAAGCCTCCGATCTGAGAATAAATTTAGGGCGGGACTACCTGAAATCAATTTTCGGTACGACAACACTGTGAAGCCTAAAAAGAGGGGAGTCCTCGTACCCAACAAGGTGGTTTTGACAGCATAGAATTGAATGGGTTCTTTGTGCCCATCACATCAAAGGCACAAACCTCGAAGGTCTGAACAGACCCCAGATCCGAGAGCAACTGTAACTTAAGGTCCGGACGATCTGACGTCAATTAAGTGCCGGGCGTTCTAAGCCAAGACCCTGCTGGCCCCGAAGGGGTTGCTTTTTAAAAAGAGAAGTTGGGAGCAAGCGGTTTCCTCGTACCCAATGCGTAAGGTGCGAACAGACGGCAACGCGCATCGTGACTGCGCTTAGTAAATACAACAAGGTGAAGCTCAAAGAAAGAAAAAGATGGGTTTCCTCATAACCCACATGTGCCGCGGTTTGCGTCAACAACCGACGGGCTATGGTGCTCACAGTGACTGTGTGGACCAACTCGGGTCAGTTGTAGAACTGAAGCCTAGAAGAGAGGGGTTTCCTCGTACCAAAATTGTGCAGTGGTTTGCGTCAATCACCGACAGGCTGTGGTGCTTGCAGTGACTGTGTAGACCAACTCGGGTCAGCTGTAGAACAACAAATAAGTGAAGCCTAGAAGAGAGGGGTTTCCTGGTGCGGTTTGCGTCAATGACCGACAGGCAGCGGTGCTCACAGTGACTGTGCGGATCAACTCGGGTCAGTTGTAGAACAACAAAGTGAAGCCTACAAGAGAGAGGGGTTTCCTCGCACCAAACATGTACAGCGGTCTGTGTCAACGACTGACAGGCTGTGGTGCTCACAGTGACTGCGTAGACCAACTCGGGTCAGTTGTAGAACCACACGTGAAGCCTAGAAGTGAGGGGTGTCCTCGTACCAAACATGTCGGCTAGAAAAGCCCGAAAAGGGGCTTAGATTTTGCAACTCTTTGAGAACTCAAACTTGATGCCCCGGTAGAAAAAAAAAGGTCAGTCCTAGAAAAGGGGGGAGGGGTTTCCTCGTACCCAACCAAAGTAATTTACAAAATTGAGGCACGGACAGTTGGCAACCCCACATATAGTTTCCCGCAGGAGCTAACTGGGGGGGAAATTCTCCCGAACGAACTGCGCTCTCTCTATCTAACTTCGCCATTGGCAGCTGTGCACGAAGCAAGCTCTGTAACGGCTCAAGAACCGCGAGTTTGTGCTCGATGGCAGCTTGCATCACCCCATCGGGTGATCTGGGTTCGATGAAGCCTCAAGTGGGTTTCATCCTGACTTCAACAGGTGCTCGACGGTGTCGCCAGACCTGGCATGCACCCTATTCACACTGGGAAGAGTTATGGAAAGGCGATAGAACGATGTCATAACCGTTGACCTCCTGAGCCCACGGCCTCCAGATTGAGTGGGTATAAGTGCAACACCGTCGAGTACTCTGACCACCTGATTGACCTAAAACAGCCTGAAAAATGAGTGTGACAGCTTGAAAGACATCATCGTCGGCTTCTCGCAGGTACGTGCAATCTGCGTCCAGATTGCATATCACAGCAAACTTGTGTCTTCGTTGAGCGGTGACTTCAAGAATGCCCACCGCTCGCCTGCTGAATAAGACATTTCCGCTTGTCATAGCGGTATACACACACACACGAATCCAATCTGGTTTGGAGAAAACATCATCTCAACCAGGCAGCTTGAGAGAGATGTGGATTGGCAATGGCTCTACCACATCCTCGGCTGCTCCACTAACAGCTGCTTATCAATGCTTATCCTTTTGGAGCGACTGGGTACAGGCATGTGGAAGCAGTATACCACACAAATGTCCCTGCATCAGGGCTGCAGGAAGCTGCATCTTTGCCTTTCTTGGACCCACAACCTTCCTTGGTGCGCTCTTCACATCCGTCGGCGATGCTTTTCTCGTGCTCGCGTTGTTTCAAACCAAGTTTCGAAGCTCTCATTGTTCTGGTTCACGGTGGAGATGAAGGTGTGATTCAGATCGATGTTGAAGTGAAGATCTCAGGTCGCAGATCGGACAAAAAAAGCTCTTGGGTCGCAAAGTGTATCCAAATCCACGAAGTGGACAGGTTTCCAGGACCGATGCCCAGTAGAAACCATCCCCCGGTTCCACCAGGTACGCAAAACTTACCTGTTACATACAACGGCACTATGGGTCTCAGCGGTTGGGGTATCGAATAGACCGTCGCCATGTCTCTGCTCTGGAGTGCCTGCAGCTGCCATGATGTCCAAGTCAGAACTGAGGTCCTGTGAACCAAGAGCACAATGAACTGAGGCCATTGAGCTGCCATTGTTCCAATCCAAGTAGCTGTCAAAGAGGCAGGGCTCAGGGCTCTTGAGGGACAGTTGGCCCAAAGTGATGATCGCCTCCCAAAGGAGAGCCGAGTTGCCGGGCAGTTGCCGATGGAAGAACAACAAACCTTGACACAGGTCGTCACAGGCTGCTAAGCAATTACCTGGCATCTAAGATGTCAAGAAAATGACTTGGGAGTAGCAAGAGATATAAGAAAGTGAGATTACAACTCATGCTGCAAACATACAAAATATATTATACATTATCACTGGCCACTAGACACTTGGAGGTGTTCATGCAAGTGTACACGCCTTTGGCCTAGGCAAACCCTATAGTGGAACACTGATCACCGTTGCTAGTCTACGCACTCAAATCATGAAAGTGGCATCAGCGGAAGCTGTATATATACTACAAACTGTCAGGGGTCAGTGCCTTCATATGGCTTCATAATATAATATAGTTCCAGATTGAGTTTGCATGTAGAACAGTTATCTTGGGAATTGACATCATCAAACATTGGAATCGGTGGGAGATCCCGTGAGATCCCTGGCGGTTGCTGGTTAACCTTATCGTACAGCACACACATACAAAACATCTCCGATAGGACATGTTACCATCGCCAGTAATGCTCAAGTGAAACAGAAATCAATCACATTGTGGTCCTTTTGGATTGTCAAATCAAATCCACTTGGATTCGATTTTGCTTGATGACATGGACCTGTTCCATGACCAGTGCAAGACCAACGGAAGTCACCCTTCACCCGAACCGTTTCGCCTGCCCGACGGCCACCGGAACATAAACAGTGGGAGAGGACAAGCGAATTTCGAGACCTCAGCGGTCGCAGCAGCGGTCGCAGCAGCGGTCGCAGAGGGGTCGCAGCGGTCACACGTGGATGTGGATCATTGGTGCGTCTGAAAGCATTTTTCGAATGCATCGATCTGCCAGCTGCAAGATCTACATGGCTCTCTTCAATCTCTCCGAAACACTTGCCTTGGTGTAGTGTAAACTTCTGTGGCTGGTATAGATGAATCTCTTGAAAACTAGTGAGGGAATATCAACAGAAATGCTATACTTTATTATATATATGTTTTGTCGATGTCCCCCGGGGTCAGCAAGCCCAATGATACGTGATGATGGAAGGTGATGGTTTTATGGATGGTTTGTGTTTGACCTCTCCTATGAACCCCAAAGGCCAACTTCTGCAACATGCTATAAACCTCCAAAAGGGGCAAAATAGCTGTGCACTAGCCCTCAACTGGAAACACGCCTGGCTGGGTTTGGGCCGTTTGCGACCCCTTGTGGGTCAAGTCATCTCAGCCAAGTTGGAGCAGTTCAGTTCACCCCCACAAACGACCATCAGGGTATGTGGAAAGCAAGGAAAAGAACCTGTCAATGCGGATTGGCTTAAGAGAAAATCTACATGAAACCATGGTTTTCACCCCGAAAACTCAGGGGTGGCTGTTCCGTTGAACCAATTCTGGCAAGCTGAGACACCCGCATTGGATCCCCAAGGCCCAATCCGCTGTAAAAATCCATATGCCGATAGAATCACTATTGAATTGCACGTGATGTTGGGTGGTGCAGAACCAGAATCACTGCCCCAACTGCTACGCCCCAAATACTGCGTTGGTGTTTTCATGTGTTTTCCAACAAAAGAACCGCCTTCAAGGTCTCATCAAGGTTTCGTGATGAGCATCTGGCGACACAACAACACCAGCGGCTCCCAGCGGGGGTCCCAGGTGCCAATCTTGTCAGGAATTCGCTTGTAAACCTCTTCCGCCAACTCTTTGGCCCTCGATGCGTTCTCCTCCAGCACATCCCTGCCGTTGCTTGCTTTCTTGGTGGGTTCTGGGGATCCATTGCTCTGCTCCACCGTTGTGAGAAAAGAGTGAGTTGGAAGGGCCGAAAGCCTATGAAAAAAAAAACATCACAGCATTCATTAGCAACCTGCGCGAGGTTGGTCCATGTTGTGGTTGGACACTTGCAAAGGTGAATATCAGTTGCACTTCAAGCACCTCCAATCCCCAGGTATGAGGTAGTATCAGTGCAATCCACCCTGAGGGTGGCATGTTGTATGGACAAATATTGTAGACAAACCCCTATTATACAAACCCGGCGGGTCTCAGGTGCCCTCAGGCGGTGCTAGTAACAAAGCTCTATCCTCAATCAACCCAGCCCCAGAAGTCCAGGCATCCCCGTCTTCCGTCTTTTGTCTTCTCCCGGCAAGCACCGGGAGGCTCCCCGCACCTCAACCTCTCAGCTCGGCTTGGCCCAGGTGCAAATGCGGAGATCTCCTGGTGTGGAGGAAGGGGAGTAGCTTAAGTGCTAGAAAGCTACTGTACGGACACAGAAGGGGTCGTTTTGTTGCTTCAACTTCGCATGCTCGATTTGGTTCCTAGACTTTTGGGGAAATCTACCGGTACCTGAGAAAAAAACAGGTGATGGTTCGTTGAAAGCCCTCCACCCCAACCCGTCGCAGGTATAAGGACTCCCCCGTGTTCTGCATTCTCATTGGCAGCAAATCCAGCATGCATCTGCAAGGAAATGGCTTTTGCTCAGTTTCCACAAAGTAATCATCCTGACGAAAACATCACCTCAAATGCGCAGTCTCTGCAGCTTCGCCTCCCGGACGATCGTCGGCTGTGTCAGTGAGACGCCAGCGGCCTTCTCCACCTGGAGAAACATCGGCCGCTCTGGGCCGCACGGGTCCCACTCTGGAGAATACCGTCCCTTCATGCAAAAGAAGAACATGAAAGCGGTACTATTCTTATAATACTGCTCAATAACAACTTAATGCAAACTTATATATGTATTCCCGAGCATGCATCATGCAATCATATGCAATCAATAAAGTAGGAACCCAGTCCTTTGCGGGCTTCGGAGATGATGGGAATCACTCGGACGCTCGGACCATTGACGATCAAGTTCAATATCGTGCCGATGAAGTTCAGCGAACACATCGTGGTCATTTGTGGGAGGCCAAAAGAAAGCACTGTTTGTGGCAGGCCGGGAAGGTTCAACTGATTTCAACCTCACCCAAAACACTCAGAAGAGAGCGGGGGAGAGAGTAAGAGAGGCAAACAACGCAAATCAACCGATACAATTGCCGCACTTCAGATCAGGGTGGCCAAAGGTCCCACGGGTATAAAACCTGGGAAGACAAGAGCTAACATGTTCAATTGGACTAAAGGTGTACCCTTGCAGGGGCAATCAGGTAACCCAGATCTTCAAGCCAATGCTTTCGACTGTCCCAGGGGCTTCTGGTGGGCCAGGCCAAAAGCCCAGGAGGCTGGCCACCAGTCCAGGGATCATGTAAATCTCCAGTGGCGCGAAGATCAAACTCCTCAAGCAGCTGGCCATGCTGCTGCGGGTGTAGACACTCGGCGAAACATGCAAACTACGAGTAGCTGGATGGAGGATGCTGGATCCATGGCTTTGTATTATCTTCGGATGAACCACAACATGGGTACAACCTGGTTGCGATTGTCTAGGGGTATATCACATGTCCCCAGAGAGCTAAGAGGGTAACAAATCGATCCTTTTGTTGGCAACCCTGCTTCTAGGGGACTACGGTTGTTGTGTGTGTGTGCCTCGGGCGTATAGAATTTTAGAAGCGAGATGGAATGAGTGTTGGACTGGCAGAAATGAGGGATAGATCAAGACAAAAACTCCGGACACCTCTGGACCCAAGTGTTTGCAAAAAGGTGTTCGTCATCCATTGCCTATGTGTTCCAAAAACAGAGCCATCATGCTAGATTCAATGTCAATGCAACACTGTAGCTGCAAGAAACACACCTGGAAGGGGGAAGGAGACTTTTCCACATCCATGTCAATTCTTGCAAGCATGTGTCTCTTTGGTTCGTGGCTGAGCTGAACGGTGTGCGGAATCAACATTGAAGCAACACGCCTTTCCCGATTTGAACAGGGGTCAACCACTCCAAGTTGAAGTAAGTAAGCTGAGGCTGAGGCTCTTTTGGCAGGGAGCAGCTGTCAAGGTTGGGTTTATGTGTCAAGAGGATGACCACTGGTTCTGTACCCAAAGGACCCAAATAGACTGCCCAGTCTTAGATACTCAGGGAGCCCTCTTGTAGCGAGGCCGATTCAAGTGTTCCTTCTGTCTTTCAAACGGAGCAACCGTCCGCATCTTCAACCATCCAACCTGATGATCCTACCTTGCCCCTTCTTGTACAAAGGCTCAGCTCCATGAGATTCTGTGAGGGCTCCACCTTGTTCTCCAAACGCAGCACCAGGGCCTGCTGAATCTCCATATCCACCTGCCAGAGCTCTCCAGTCGGAGCTATACAAATGCCCATGTGTCTTGAGGGGAGGGACTACAATCCAACTTTTGGTCGGTTGACTCGCGTCTGACTCACACGATCTCCCACGTTAAGACCAGACAAACAGGACCCAACGTGTGGTGAAAGAACCCATTGAGCAAATGCAGGTTGCCCAAGGCCGAGAAAACAAAACTCAGTGTCTTGGATCCTATGGTGTTGCAACAACAAATGAACAAGTGACAAGCAACTGTGACCACTGTGGTTTCATCTTCTTTCCTGCCGAAACTACACCGCTAGTGACAAACGCAGAAGAACGAGGCGAGGTGCAAATCTTGCGTGTGCTCGTACTCACAAAGTGAATGGAATATCATACAGTTCACACAACCCACCTCCTTGGGACGAAGGAAAGGCTTGCCTTGATGGGAGACGTTCGCCTCGAATGCGAAGGATAAGATGGTGGCAGGGTGGTGCTGGGGGATGGAACTGTTGAACTGAGCGTGCCAGTGGCCTAAGATGAGTTGATTGAGGTGTAAACATGTAGACTGTCAAAAAAATGACAACATATGAAGAGGTCGTTCAATCTGGAAGGGTCATTAATCAAGAGTCTACAGTACGTGGCTTCGACCCAAGTCACACCCGTCAACCTCTGCAGTTCACACTCTCAAACATGCGACAAATGGCCCAAGACACAATCCATTCTGAGAAAAGAAAAACCTTCCAAGGGCCAGAGAACAAACGCCCAGACCGACCCCCCCCGGAAATCGATGCAGTTCTGCACCTTTCCGGCCTTCGTATTGAAGAAATTAGCCCTGCTACAAATATTAGTACATCATAGTCTCATAGTACATCTATTTTCATCTATTGACCTTCATGTACGATGACCCAAGGATGGTCTTTAGGGGCTGGTCCATTGATACCCTCACTGACGAGATCTTCGACTGACACACGGTGACCGAGATCACCGAAACGACCGCTGTCCAGCAAGATCCAGCTGTCGAGCGAATCGAAGTAGGTGGAATTTCCACACGGCTATTGCTTGGCACATATCAATGGAATAATATGGAGATCTGTCAAATTCTTGGATAGATAGAAGAGAACAACCCCAGTTTGTGTCTTGCAAATCTATCCATGTACTTCAGAGGACCAACCAAGCAAACCCGACCCACTCACCAAGCAAACAACCAACCCACCCGTCCAGGAGAACGCCATGAAACTCTCAGCCACTGAGACCCTCTGGGAGCCCCTGACCGAGCCCAGACCAAGATCCAGCCGGAAGTCCGCACTACTCTGGCCCCTGTGGTCAGTGGCCGACTCCACCTGGTCTGCACACCGAATGGGTGAAGTTGAAGGGAGCGTGTCTGCTCAAAAACTAGGGTGGCACACTTGCGTGGGTGTCGTCTTCCTAGTCCTTGCTGTGGGTTGACATGATAGTTTGATACTAAAAGGCAGGTAGTGGCAAGTGGAGGTAAAATTGTATTATGAGAAGTTGCCACAGGACTTGATTTGGGGGACAAGTGGAGGACAGTTCAATTGCCCAGAGTACTATTGGAAAGAATTGGCAAGGTACAGTACCAGAAACTGCGTAGTTCTATACAGAGATGTTGTAGCATACCAGTCAAAACTCGTTCAACATGAAGAAGTCTACTGAAAGCTGCAAAAAGTATGCCACGCATCCATCCACCTCCGGGCAAGTATCAAGTATTTATAGAAGAAAGCACTGACAAGGCGGCCTGACCCAAATGACCCGCCCCACATGTTTCCCTCCTTGAACCACCTCCCACTGCACATGTCCACAATATTCCACAACCCTTTGTGCTGTCTCACCCGTCTCGACCCCCCCCCAAAAAGACCACACAAATCCCACCTTCACAGCCAGGGAGGTGGTCTTGAGATCTAAGTTCAAGAGCTTCAGAGCAGGACCCGTTCGGGTGTCCTCTTCCAAGTCTAACAACACCTGAGTCCAGCGAGCAAAGAAATCATCTGCGAGCTTATGGAGGCCGCTGATGTGCATAGTTATATAGTTGGGTGTTTTTTGGAGGGAAGCCTCCAAACACCGGGTTTTGGTGTGTTCATTTACTTTCAAACAGTACAACTAATATCTGATATCTGTGGATATCTGGGGATCCCCCTGTTGTGCATGATGTGAACACACTTTCAAGTGGAGCCAAGGATACTGGCTTGGCAGTTCTATCTTGTATATTATATATATATACCTTTTTATGACAGGGCCTCACGTCTTCCACCAGGCTTTGGATCCTGAAGATTTGCTGCAGAGGTGATGGCACTATCCAGCTATATACTCCGAAAGTTTAACATGGAACACGGCTCCAAGCCTCAGTGCTCATTAACATGGCATACCTGCTCGTTAGGTTTCCTGGGGAATATGGAAACCATTGGTCTCAGGGGGAAGAGTTGATTTTGGAGACTAACATAGACCACCACAAGGCTGGAATAAAGATTGGTGCACTACAAATGCAGCACCCAGGAGATGCTAATATGGAATACCTCACAGTAGTCAAGATCCAGGGAATCCAGCAACTGGAAAGGATCCACGTTAGTCTCAACCTTGTTTCCCACACAGAGTTCTACAGTAAACCTTGTTGCGCAAGACATCTAGGCCATCCCAAAGTGCACCCGTACACTTGGACGTCTTGAAACCGAAATGCTACAGGCAGCAACACTAACATACCACATGCGAGCTCGCCCAATCATCCTTCAAAACAGATCCATGTTATATAGTCTCAACGTATTCCATACACCTGCCAAACTCCCCAAGCTTGTTTCACACAGTGTATCCACACTAACATGGCCTGCCCCCCCCCCGGGCTGTTTCATAAATAGGACACCTCACACTAACATACCACACAACATTAAAATTCGCGGGTGTATGCTGCCTGACTCAGTCCTTCAGGTTAAGCCGGTGATACCTTTTGTCCAGGGTAAATGGAAGTGGGGAGCAAAGTTGAGTCTCCAAATGAAGGAACATCCACCGTGACTGTCATCAAGGTGTGCCACAAGCTCTTGATTGATGAATTCGGTGCACTGAAGCTCTTCCTGGGGTGTGTCGTGATGTTGGAGTCCAAAGAAACGTCTGTCGAAAGTCCCGCTTACTGGGGTTTCTCCTCAACTATAATCGATGATCTTATTGACCCTCGATCTAAAGGACGCCAAGCAAGGAAGCCAAGCAGCTTGACCGCCACAAAGGACCACCTTCACCTTCTGTGGCGTTTCGACCACCTGGGACAGGGAGGTCCGTCCTTGGTCGCCTAGACGCGCCTCCATCCAGGAATGATAGCTGAACCCCTGGATTCTTGAGAGTCTTGGCATGTCTAGTTGATGCTGTGAAGCAGTTATTTGATGTTATTTGGGCAGGAGGTTTCCTTCAGCATCTTTTCCCATCTTGCTTCAGCTCTGAGCTCTGACGGCTTGACTCGATTTCAAACGGACGCTCAGTGCATTCGTGCATTGCATTGTGTTTTTCCAATAGAGTTATGGGAAACAGAACAAATTCTGCATGCCAACCGAAGCAAAGTGTAAAAGTGCCATGTGTCTCTGTCTGTCTGCTAGGGAGGAACATGTAGGAACCATTGATGACTTGTGGCTGCCCATGACATGGAACCTACAACAATGAAAGTTTGGAACACCAACGGCTAAGGCTCCATTTTCTCATTGAGGACTGATTATCCTATATGGCCAACTTCCCAAAGCTATATTACTATACTCTCAATCGCAGTGGTGGCAACCGAAGTCCACAAAGCGTCCAAGCGAGTCCAAAAGCGCACCTTTATGGCTGCGAGTGTCGAGGTCGTAACACGGTTGGATCAAGGGCCCTTCGGACAGAAAGATGCGACGGCAGTCGCACATGGAAAACATGTCACCTCATGACTGTCGATGCCTGGTCTGTAGTCGATACCTGGTCGTTTGGAAAGGGCCAGGATTTGTTCCATCACCTCTTCACGATGTTGGGGCAAGGTGCAAGTTCGGTCATTGGTCTCGACCGTTTCTTCTTTTTCATTCTCTTCATTCTTCTTCCACAAAACCATTGCCTTCTCGAGGAAGAGATTGTAGATCTTGTAGGTCATGTGCTCCAGGCCAATGCATGCAAAGAAAACCAAAACACCAACAGTGAGCCAAAAGCGAGTGCCGAGGTAGGACTCAGGGATGCGCTCATCGTTCTCGGTGGGGCTTCGTTCAACAACTGGCATTTCATTGGCAATCAAACAAGTTACAGCCGACATGGCTGCCGTTCTCCAAGCATCATGTCTTTGACCTTGTCGATGGGCATGGAGGTAGAAGTGGCGCCTGGAGCAGAACTTGTTCTTTGGATTTGAGGCATCACATGTTTTCTCACAACCAGGAAGGGCGCAGAGATTGCCATCTTTCTCCTCAAGCGTGAAGATCTGGTTTTCGAAGATGTTTTTCGATGCCTCTTCATGTTCTTTTCTTTCAGCTTCTTTATCCTCATAGGTGTCCTTCTTGGCGGCGATGAAGTCCGGCTCAAAGCTCAGCTTGTGAGTTCCTCGGTTCAAGACATAGGCCAGGTTGTCTTTTGCTGCCGGCTTTGTCAAACCATCAGCTATTTGTTGCTGTGAGTTCACCCAAAACCATCGTCCATCAAGAGCTGACATTCGATCCTTCACTATAGCAACTTCGATTGCAGTGCGGCGTTCACTCAACTTCATTCCTGGGGTGATGCTTCGAGCAGCGTCAAACAAGGATCGAGCATCAGTGGCAAGTGGAGACGTGCCAAACTTCCTGAGGGCCTCAGTTGAACCAATGTCCAAGGTGGGGTCCACAACGCAAGCCATGAAGATCTTACTCCATTCAAGCTCGTCAACTGCTGCTGCGGCGGCCTGGGCTTCAGCAGACAAGGAAGACCTGCAAATGCGCTGCAACTTCTTGGACTGCCACTGGAGTATTGTCAGCGGCATTGGTTTCTCTGAGCTCAACTCCTCATGGTTGCGCTGGAAGACCAGCAGACCTCCCTGTGACGTTCCGTCCGGGCGAACGGCCCATGCAACATCTGTGTAGGCACCAATGCACAACGAAGAGATGTCGCCGTGAGCGTGGAAGGTCATCTTGTAATCCTTGGTCACATTCTTTGCAAATCTCAACAGCTTGTTGGCCTCATTGACGTCCTTGATCAAGGGGCTGCTGGATGCTGACTGCAAGATGCTGACACTGGCACAAAGTTGTGGTACACATTGATGAGCTGGCCAGGCAAGCGCTCCTAGCAATGCACGAAGTTGTTTGTGCTCTCTGTCAGTGCAAGCATCGTTGACCATTGTTTTCCGTGACTTGTCCAAGCAAATCGGCTTCACCTTCTGGCAGTATTGCTCGAGGGAAATCTGGATGGTTTCGTGGTTCAAACTCTGGACTACGTCAGCTCCACAGAACTTCACTCCCAGACTCGAGCCAAAGTCCCAACTGCCAAACTTGAATCGCCGGGAAAGCTTTTGCAGGCGGCCAACAAAGGTGTTCACATCATATTCAATCTCACCTGTGATGTCATTCAAAGTCGTGACACCTTCTCCAGCACCGATGAAGTCGTCCACGTGGAGGCCTAAAATGCCATCAACAATGCAATGCGTTCCATTGTATTCGAAGACGCAGAAGGGGTCATCACCATCGGCAGCTTGTCGCAAAGAAAGATACACGCAGCGGTCGAGTGGGTGTGCAATCAAGTTCAACTCATGCAGCAAGTACTCGTTTGCTGTGTTGTTCCATTGCCGTGGTGCACGAACATCTCCAAAAGCTGGTTTGCAGGCTTTCATGATCTGCCATGGCTTGAGGTCAATCTTTTTCTCGAGCAAGCGACGCATGTCAGCTGAAGGTCGGATGTAGATTCTCGTGGTTGCATCAATGCTATCCGCCTGCATGAAGGCTGACTTCACATCTGCTGACCAAAGCTTCCATCGCTTGTGAGTTGCCATGACATAGACGAGATTCTCGCTCAAGCTCTTCATTGAGAACATCTTTGCGCTTGAAGCCTTGGATGATGACGCGAGCATTCGCTTGCGGCCCTTCTTTTGTAGGCTTCCATCGTTGTAGAAACCTGGCTGGGATCACTTCACCATCATGGGCCTCGTCCTCGTTGACAGGTCGCCAAGCATCATGATCGAACCAGACCTGCAAGGCTTTGCATCGAGCCTCCTCGAACAGCTGCTTTTCTGCAGGGGTGAGTTTCTTCTCGCTGAAAGCTTCAGCAACCAGGCTCTCATCGGCATTCATTTCATTGAAGCGGTTCTGGAATGAACGGTCATCCTCACCAACTGCAGGTAGGCCATCCAGAGTACGTGCATCGTTGTAGGACTTCAAGGCGCTCGAGCCTCAAGTTCTCGAAAGAGGCTGCACGTTCATCTCTGGGGATGGGACTCCGCGATCTTGCCCTGCTTTCATTTCTCTCTTCTGCTGTTGCTGTGGTTCGTGTTTCTGCAGCGGCGGCTGTTTGTGTGTCTGCAGCTGCCGCGGCGTGTGTGTGTGGTTCTGTATCTGCAGCGGCGGCTGTTTGTGCTGCAGCTGCTTGTTGCTCTGTCTTTGTCGTTTCTTCTATTGTTTGTGAGTTCTGTTGTCCTGTCATGTTGTCATCTTCTTTCGGCTCAAGCTGCTCATTCGCCAATGTTGGAGGCGAGTTGGCTGACAACATGGGCGCCTTTACATTCGAAAAGGTGGGTCCGGTGGCAAGATCTAAAAATCTGACAGGACCCTGCACAGGAATCAGGGCATTGCGGACTCGATCACAAACAGGTTGACTGAGAGCAGTTTCCGGCATAGATTCCAAGCGGGCTAGACGCTCAGCAGGCACTTCTGCTCGAACATGTTCAGGGGCACAGCGAACCAAGCTGCTTCCATGGGCCAACCAGTAGACATGAGGCCGGAGAATGCCGTCCTCAGTGGTTCGTGGCTCGATTGCGCACACAAGGCCAGGTCCGCGCCATCGATGAGCGTCAAGCTTGGTCTCTGGAGAACGCCAGTAGAATGCATATTCTCCCAACTGCAGAGGTTCAAGCTCAGGTCGTGGGCGAGACAGAAAGGAGCGCTTGAGGAGTGCATCATGATTTGCTTCGTAGAAAGCTTTGGATGCCAGATTCCTCAATGCATGGTCTTGCTGAATGGCCTCATGCATATCAGGTCGAGTTGGTGCTGGTTCATCGATAAGTCCACCACTGGCTGGATTGTAGCCAAAGACCATTTGAGCGGGTGATGAGCCATGCACATTCCGAAGGCGATTTCTTTGACTGCAGGCCATGCGAACGGCATCAGCAAGCTCCAAATTTGGTTCACCTTGCTGCATCTTGTAGAGCTGAAGTCGGCGAACTGCATGCAAGCGCTCGACTGCACCCATCCTGTAGTGGGCCTCTTTGGGAACAATGATGAGCCTGATGCCATACTTGTCAAAAAACCGCAGATACTGCTCACTCATGTGGGCTCCAGAGGCATCAGTTCGGAATTTGCTCGGAGGTCCAAAAGGATGGATCCATTGTTCCTCAAGCACTTTCAACTCACATTCTTCAGTCTCTCGCTCCACCACTGCATTGACCTCATACTTGGTGAAGGTGTCGAGGATGGCCAAGATCTTTTTCTTCTCATTGTTCCATTTGACATGGAAGACATCAGCTTCAAGCAGCTCATTGAAGTGCGAAGACTGGGGCAATGAACCAGGCTTTGGCAACTTGCTCATGAGGTGTTTGGCACAAACATCGCAACGAAAGTCGCGAGCACGCTTGATGATGGAGTCGTCCATTTGTGCATCCCTCATGGCTTTGATCAACTTGTCATTGCCAGGATGTCCCAGTTGTTTGTGCAGCTTCGTCACCACAGACAGAGCTTGCTTGCTGTGACTCTTCATGAGCTTCTTTTCTTCCTCGGTGATTCCGGAAGTCTCTGTGGTTTTCTGGTTCTTCTCATCCATATTGACATCCTCGGAGACAAAGATTTGAAGAACTTCACGTTGTCTCCAGCGACGTTCCACGGAGGCCATGATGGCCTTAGCTGCGCGCTTCACGAATCCAGGTTCGTAGTTTTGCATTTGTTTCAAACTGCGACTCTTGCCATCCATGTTGACGTGGTCATAGCTGGAACATGTGCATGGAAGATTGAGGGCCTCATAGGTTTCATCATCATTCGTTCTCAATCTTGTAGGCTTCTTCACCTTTCCAACATAGTTGCCTTGTTTGTCAAAGTAGCACAAACCAGTTTGACATCTGTTGCACGCGGCGTCATAGCAGTTGTCAATGCTGCTCAATGCTTTGGTGTCCCAAGAAGCGGCATGATGTGGTTGTTCAACTGCAAAGCCAGAGTTGACGTCATCACAGATGTCACTGGTGTCCTTGGCCATCATGAGGTGTGAATTCTCTTCAACATCACGTTGGTCCATCAAGTTCTTCATCTTTTCGGGAGTGCCACAGTTCAATCGTTGAATGGCGCTCCATACACGACATGGCGGTGCCATCCAAACATAGTGTGGTTTCACCCTTTTCACAAGCTTCTTGAAAGCATCTCTGACTCCTGGAATGCTGAAGTCCCATTCTGGAAGTCCGAAGGTCGATACCTCAACATGAGGATAGTTCTTTGCCAGGTAGGTGGCGATGTTGCCCTCATCGACATACACCTCGAAGAAGATCAGCTTCTCGTTTTCATCAATTCGTGCTCCGATTTGATCGAGGATCTTGAAAGCTTCATCCTGTTCAACTTCAAGGAGCACATGGTCATCACAATTCGTGGCTTCAGATTCCAGGACCGGCTCAATGGCAAAAACGTCATTGTTGTGGAAGATCTCCTCAGTGATGAGTGCCATGTCCTTGGTGTCACCTTCAAAGTCCAGGAGGTTGAGTAGATAGTGTCCTTTGACTCCTCGTCAGGGCTGACGTCATCCTCAACCATGAACCCATCGTCCTTGACTGTCTTGGTGTTGGATGACAGATCACGAGGATTCGGCTTGTGGTCGCCGCCGAAGACTTTGAGCAAAGCTTGATGAACTTGATCATACTTGAGCTCGCCGTTGCAAAGACTCTTGATCTGGATGTGAGTCCACTTGGGCACACCAGACCGTGTGAGCAGGTGCCAACCAGCTAAAAGCGGTGGGATCTCGATGCCAATCTCCCGGAGTTTCTTCAACTGAGTCTTGTGGCGAATCAAGTAGGCCTGCATTTCTTCTCCCCGGCTTCTCATGAACAGCTGAAAGAAATCTTCACAGCGTACGGGGACCTCAATCTCCTCTTCATACTGGTACAGGCCGTCCAACAGCTTCAACACGGGCTTGAAGGGTTCCGTGTTCCGCTCGATGTCGTTCAGGTCGAGCTGCTCTGAGGCTGCGTCCCAAGCCAAGTTCTTGAGAAGGCTAACTACCAACAAAGCTCCTTCGACTTCTGCATCCTTTGATCTCCTGCGACATTGGAGGGCAAAGAGTTCCAACCTTTTTCTAAAGCTCCTGTAGTTGGACTGGGTCAGGTCGTCGGCGATGGGAGCGGCTTTCGCCAAGCCACTGTCGAGTCCGCGGTATCCACCAGCTGCTGCCGAAGAAGCGGCTCCATTGGCTCTCGATGGAGATCGTGTCCCTTCAGGCTCAGGTGTCCATCCATCTCCTTCAGCATGTGGGACTTCTTGTTCGCGGCGTCGACGTTGTTGTCCACCACCATTTCCTGCCATAATGGCGCTGTGCACGATCTTTGAGATCTGGTTACCTTGAAACGGTAGGAGGATGCCAAAGCAGTCTTCAATCAAAAAGGTCCACCTCCAAGATCTTTCCGAGGATCGTGTAGCGCTCCGCTACCAATCTCAATCGCAATGGTGGCAACCGAAGTCCACAAAGCGTCCAAGCGAGTCGAGGTCGTAACACGGTTGGATCAAGGGCCCTTCGGACAGAAAGATGCGACGGCAGTCGCACATGGAAAACATGTCACCTCATGACAGGTGTACCTCAAAATGCATTCGCAAGTTGACATATACTGTATATAGTATATTACTAATTGGGAGTTATTTGCTTTAGAGGATGCTCCGAGGAGAAGTACCAAGGAAAATCAGTGATGGTCAAGGCGTAGACACAGATGCAGCAAAATATCAAGCATGTGTTATAAGGATTGGACTTCAGGTCATCAAGCATGTATTATCGTCTTTCACGTCTGCACGTTATCGCTTATGGTGAGTGTGTTATCCTTGTTTCCGGCAAAACATGCATTTTGAAACCCCATGACTAATTTTGAGCCTAGCTCACATGTCGAATGGCGAACCAATAAACTTCCAAGCCGGTCACCAGTTGTCTGCATGGAAACGGCCTCAACTTCAGCTTTGCCATCGTTTAACTCCTTCAAGATCTCCTCAGTGCTCAGCTTGTCCAGTGGAGACTCTTCTGGCTCCTGAGCAGAACGAGGAAAGTTCCGAGAGGCGATGGTCAAAATACACCCTTGGAACTGAACCTTGTGGTGAACCACAGAATGTAGCTTGGGTGAGCAATTGCTTTATCCAATTCCACCAGCCAGGGCTCAAAAGGTTCATCTGGTTGAATCTTAACCTAAACACCGCCATATTGAATGGTCCCAAAGAAGTCGACAAGGCCTGCAATCCGAAGGGGATGATGTGCCGCAACGGTAGGTACCAACACAGTTTGTTGAGGCTAATGAATCCAAATGCTCATGTTTGCTAGTATAGTCATCATTGCGATTGGAAAGCATCATGATCAGCCTATCATCAATTTGTTCCCACATAATTACATCCCAACACTCCGTTCAATAATAACTGTACACATGCACATTCTGATGGCAAATCTCCCCAAAGTAATTATCTCCGTCCACTCTCACGTACCAGCCTCTGCTATGCTAAATAGATTTGTATTGGAAGTACTGTGCAGTTTATTCCTGAGATGTTGCTCAAAATGTACGATCAACCAACTTGCGCAACTAGGCTACAAATTCAACGTCCATCTTTGCATATCTTAGTTGCTGCCAAGCAGCCCGCCGCCAAAAGGTTCGACTAAACCAGCCGCCAGATGCCTTCCAGCAAAGACTTGCAACTTTGTGCCAGGCCTTCCTCTACCAAACCAATACCGATCTCGGACTTGCACGAATAGGAGGAAACAACGCCAGTGGTTTGACACTGTCTCTTCTGTTGTTCTGTCAGTTGTAGCATGCCTGTGCTCGGAATCTGCGTTCAATTCGTGACAATATGTCAATATGTGTACTGGTTTACAATCTGTAGTGGATCTAAACTGGTTCCTGCACATTGACACTGTGCTTTGTGTTCAACATCATGTCGGGCCCCTTTTCCACCGAAACCTGAGCCGCTTCCCCCCCCGTCGTCGGACGGCGTCCGCCTGCTTCGCCTGCTGCGGTGTGGCCATTTTCACCAGCTCTGCGAGGTAGTCCTCCGCCCGATGCCGCGCCTGGACGCCGGCGATGGAACTCGACGCTGTCTGTTTCGCATGGATTCCAGGTCCAGTCACCGGCGTCACCGAGCTTCCAACAGACCTCCACCTAATAGCTTCTAGCTACTAGTAGCTTCTTCTTACTAGTAGCGATGGCCTCCAACCTACTTGCGATGGCCTCCAACCTAGTAGCGATGGCCTCCACTTAGTAGCGTCCTTCTAACAGAGGTTCCAACGGGTGGTGCGGAAAAATGCGGAAAATCCTCAAAGGTCCTCCGTCAAAACACCTGGGGGAGGACATGGACCTGGACAGGCTGCAGCACATCCGAGGCCCTGGGCTGCCTTGTTTGCACCCCCAACATGTGAAAAACTCAGGGAAGAGTCCCAATATTGCACTGACACCTGCACACATGGCCGTGACTCCAAAATAGAGTGTTGTTGAGGTGCCTCTGGGTCCTTGCATCTCATTTATTGAGCCACAAATTGTGCCACTTGCTCTTGACCACGTGGATCCCCACGTGGTCGTTGTCGCGACGTCACGCAGAAAACCGACATGCGCAAATGTTGTGCCGAGCATCAGCCGCAAGCAGCTGGAAAGGAAGAACATTTTCCAAGGTCTCCAGCTCCTCCAGGTACAAACCCAATGCATATTTTTGAGAACAATCTGTGAAACTCTGCACCGACAGCCTGCTAGCTGCTAGGTACACGTATGGTATGCCTGTGTTCACCATCTGTGATACAAAGGCATGTCGACTGGTTTGTTCAAGGTTCTTCATGGACTTGGACTTGGTGGACACCAAAAACATTGCCTTTCAAGGGAGTCTCTTCACCAGCTTCGCCAGTCATAGGAGGCCACAACATGTAACATGACACTGCCCCACCAATAATCACGATTGATCTCAGTTACCTGCAAGTGAGGCCTCTCATGACCTGCCATGTGTCTCAGCTTCCGCCCATGTGAGACCCCTGCAGTCCGGTTTGGCCATCCCAACAGCTCCTTCATCTCTTTGGGTTCAAGCGGTGCAAAGTTGAGGCCCCTTTGTTCCAACGCAGCCACAATTTTTGCCTCGTGGGCGTGCAGGACCAGCATGGCTGGAGAGGTGGAAGACACTGTGGGTGTGCCGATTCTTTTTGTGAAGGGAACTATCTACTCCAATGAAGCGAATTAACTTAGAACATGTATTATAAATTAGTAATTACCTACTTTTTCCTGCGTCTCCTTTGGTCCAAAGCATTGCAATCACCGTCTGCCCGGCTGTTTAAAGAAAACTGGCGAAGAAAAAAGAAGCTGTATATATATAGTATATAACTGGAAAATTGGAGCATGAATCGTCCTCTGATGGAAGGAATCGTGGGCCACCGTGACTCTGCGAACAAATCCATCTCAGCTGAAGCGAAATTGTGCTCCGACCAGAAACGACCCAAGTACCCCACGCACCGCCCAACGCCGCCAAAACGCCTCGCCCTTGTCCACGCTGGAGAGGCATTGTTGCCGGAACAAACTGAAATACCTCTCCTGGCTTCTCGAAGGCTGTGCTGGCGATGGATGTGAAGGTGCCCCAAAAACCAAAGGATGAAACATCTTCATCTACCTCGGTTTGCATCGGACACTGCCCTATTCTGAGGCATACCGACCCGATGTTGAGTCTGTGCCAAAAACAAACTAGCCACTACCTATATTAAATGTATATGGATTTCCCCCGTGTATGTCTGTGTGTGGTTTGGGGCTTAAAGCTTTCTACGTTAGAAAGATGCGAAGGCATTTGGGAATGCTTCAATGCTAATAAAGTGCACCGCCGCAGCACCAAATGTTGCCACATCATTTAAATTCGCTAAATACAACAACTTGTCACCACATTACCACCGATGCCACTAAACTCCAGTGAATGTCTTCGAATCTGCTGTATGTAACTGAATGCAGCACTACATGCAGGCCCAATAGATCTCCTTGATCCCGAATGTTTGGCTACCCTCCAGTCTGCCGGGCTGAACCCTCTCACCAGACCTGCCTTCGATTCGTCCAAGGTGGCCATCAGGCGTGCTTCTTCCTGTCCGGAAAAGCAAGTTCTGGGGCCACCACGGATGGATCATTTGGCCATGTACTACGAATGAAGCAAACTCAAACAACTACAGTCCACGCTTCCACTGGTTTTCAGTCGGCTTTCCTCGATATGGTTTGGCAGGCTACAAATGCTTCACCCACCTCCCTCTGTGTATGTGTGTGTGCGCCCTTACAGCTCAAACGAAGGTTGCGAGCGTGGTCATCTATGAATTGAATAGAATATTGTGGTGCTGTCTTACATAGTTGCATAGTTCATCCGTTTGCAAACCCGGCCAAGAGAGGCATGCAGGGGCACAACCAACAAATGAGATCGGGAAATGCCTCAGCCAACGGACCGAGGCGATCTCTGCAAAACAGTGTGGACAGAATGGTTCAAACATCCTGTTCAAGGGCTACTTCAAGGCAAGACCCGGCACCTTTCTGCGAAGAGCCAAGCATCCACATTTTCACAGTTTTCACAGCCCGTTTTACTCGACCCGACAAAAGCTGGCTCGATCAGCCAAGCATGAAGGATCGGAACGGGAAGGACTGAGGACGCCACTCCACCTCAATTCAGCATAATTCAGCCAGTGGAATGACCATGACCACTGACTAACGGCCTGAGTTGCATGCCCGCACGTGCCCCCACCCGTGCCCGTGCGCGCTCACCTGGGGGTCCACCAACATCCCTCGCAAGCGGTCCCACTTGTTTTTCAAGGCACTTTTCAGCGCCAAAACTCCTGGCACGACCCACGCAAGGGGCAGGATGAGAGAGGATGAGGTAGACCAGAGGTCCCAAAGTCTCCATAAAACTTGTGCAATTACCTTGTAGGTTGCTTGGGACAACCACTCTCTTTTTTACTGACACGATCGCCTTTTGGTGGCCCAAACACAAATCCGAGTGGATCTCTTCAGCACATGAAACTTGGAGCAAAGATCATTCTGAGCTTGACTCTTTGTTGCTGGAGGGTTTCTGAGAATTTCTGTACAGCTAGTTTTGAAGTTCTTGCTTCACTGCACAATCGACCTGGAAATCTTTCCGTGGTTCTTCCACCTTGCTCAGCATGGAAACACGTGGTTCCTTCATGTTCTTTCCATTTCCGACTTGCAGCAGTAGCTGCACCTGGGACGCTTCAATGCTTCAATCTCATCAAAACGGCCGATCCAGGGACGGCTTTTGGACATTCGGTCACAGAAGGGAAAATCGAAAGTGGGAGACCCCAAACGACCAGAGTTTCATAGTTTCACGATGACAGGTCCAAACAATACCACAAAACCCTTGGAGGTCATCGTCGCGACTCCGGGCCTACAACTTGGGACCTCTTCAAATCGATTCGACTGGGCTTGTCGGTGGCCAAATCCACCTGGCAAGAAGCAGAAACGAATCATGTGGCGTGTGTATATATATGTTTGTTCTATATGTTCGTTTTTTGGCACATCCAAGAGTAAATAAGTGACTACGTGACGCCAAATGTTCACATATTTTGGTGAGGTTTCGTTATAATATATATGTTTCATCATTCTCCGTACCTGGAAGCAAACCCCCTTTTAGGTTTGTCCGGAAAGTGTTTTAGGGGCTGAGCATTGCTTGGCCAAGGCCCTGAGCAAAACAAAATATGTTTTTGGCGCAACGTCTAGGTTCCTCATGCACTATGCTCTGGAAAAAGGCACACTCCAAAGAGATCGGACCTCGGTTTTCCGGCATGACCTGCCTCCAGGCGCAAAAGCCCATCATCGGGTACATGTGCCACCTGTGGCGTGACACGCGCGTCCTTGGGACGTCACACTCGTTTTGTGGCTCGTCAGCGGGATGTGAAGAGTCTGCAAGTTGACAACCCACAGGTTTTCTGGACCAGCGTGGCACCCAACATCGCTGATCAGCATCGCTGGCTGATCGGGTCCCGGCAAAGCGAGGAATGTGTTCTGACTGCAAGGAGGGTCCCGATCTGACACTATTCACATCATCCCCCCGAATCCCGCCTGATTATAGAGTCCCACGATAATTTAGTTCACTCTGTCCTCCAAGTGTGAGCCCCCTCGCAAAGAAAAGATTACTCTACTGCAAGTGATCCCTGACCTGAAAATCACCGAAAGGCGGCTTGGAAGAAAGCAGAGCACATGTATTGACAGGCGTGGCTAGCCTTACAAAGGCGGACATGCGGATTGACACAATGTTCTGACGCTTGTTCTGGCATCAAGTCTGACTGCCTTGTGCTTGAAGTAGAGAAGTGGAGGTCCGAGTGCCCGCTGCGGTCTAGAATCTAGAGCTTGCGGTTGAGGTCCGGGAGTGCCCACTGGGATCTGGAGCTTGCAGTTGAGGTCCGGGAGTGCCCACTGGGATCTGGAGCTTGC